TAATAATAATAAATAATAAATAATAATAATAATAATAACAATAATAATAACAATAATAATAATAATAATAACAATAATTAATAATGATAATGATAATAATAATAATAATAATAATAATAATAATAATAATAATAATAATAATAATAATAATAATAATAATAAAATAATATAATAATCGCAATAGTAGCAATAATAATAATAACAATAATAATAGCAATATTATAGGTAATTGTTATTGCGAATAATTGTTATTATAATCACAATAAAATTATATTAATAGTAATAATAATTATTATCATAATTATAATAATAATTACTATTATCATTATTATTATCACCATCATTATTATTTATTATAATTGCAACAACAGTTATAATGATTATAGTAACAATAATAATCGCAAGCGACAATTATAACATTGAGATTAACCACTGACGAACATATAACTATTAACAAATATTAAGGATAACATCAATGTTGCTTTATGAAATTTTTAAAATAATTCGCGAATTTACGCATATTCTGAAGCTTGTTCAAGACTGCAGCTTTATAAAGATAATTTTTGCTGATAATTTTTGTAAGATATAATAGCAGTGATTATTTATAAAGATAATAAAGAGATGATTACACTCCAAACAATCATGATGAAATTTGCTGTAGTCATTGCTCATAGTCAAGTTTAATGAATGATCTATAGGAATTTTACTTCCTGCTAGATTTAAAATTGAATTCGAAACAGTAAAGTTGAATTCAAAGAATTCTGAAAATTTTGCGAATCGCGACAACTTTAAAAGTTTATCAAAAAAAAAAAGTTTATCAAAATAACGAGCGGTTAAAGTTAATAACATAACTTTTAAGATTATAATAAAAGTTCATTTAGATGAAAGTAAATGTTCGTGTAATGAATCAACAAAATTACGGTGAGTGTCAGGGAAGCAATCAAATATGACCAATCTAATTATAAAGTTGGGATTGAATCATAAAGTTGAAGCTATTGTTGATGGTGTTACCAAGAATATTATGGACGACTGTCATAATGATGGCGAAAAATAAAGCAAATCATGATAATTATCATGATCACGGCTTAAAAAAATAGTATGCGCAATGATCGGGTATCTACAATAACATAATGACACAAGATAAAAAATGCTTGATGGTATAATCAACAGTTGACAGTTGATAAGGGCAAGCATTTCAGATAATTAATATGACGAGATGCATGCCGCAAGTATTATTGACTTCGGACATAACACCGGTGAAGATTCGAATTTTATCACCATATTAGCGCTAAAGTTAGTAGCAACAGAGTAACTGATTAACAAGATAATAACATGCACAGTAATACCGCGCCTCCCTTAACTCCTGAGACCTCCTGGTAGTTCATCCCCCTCGGGTTCATCCCCCTCGGCAACTAGACCCCGGAAGTCCAGGGCCGCAAAACAATCAACATATCTAATGGTTTGTTTGTCAACTACTGCAGCTTTATATCCTCTTCTAATCGACAAGATTAAGATCTCTCCTTCCCTCTGGCAATCTCTCTCTCTCTCTCTCTCTCACTCGTTCCTCTGGATAACTTAGATATCCAGTAATTCAGCGCTCATTCGGTACCGCGATGTCACGGGTTTCATCAATATAGGACACATGGGAGAGGTAGATTGGAGAGAATAGATTAACTTTAACTGATATTTTTAATAAGATTCCTGCAGAATCCTTCAAAATTTATCATATGTTTGTCGATGAAAGCTATCGGTAATATATTTGGTATATTTTTAGACGTGTTTTTCTCCTCTAAAATATCCAAACTCATTGTGCTTTCCTTCAAAATTTTAAGGGTTTATTTCTGCTTGTAAAACAATAGGAAATGGAATGAAAATGAACAACTTGTTTAATATAACGAAATGTTACTATTAATGGGATATTGATCAGTTTGTTTATTTTCTTATTTATGTATTTATTCATTTGTTTGTTTGCTTTATTTATTTATTTGTTATCTATCTTATTTATTTACTTATTCGTTTGTTTTGAAACCTTTAGGATAGATGAAGTGATTTATGTTAATAGGCCGAATTCAAATCAAGAAGCCCACGCACTATCTACCGTTAAGCGTCGAGCTATACGTAATAAGCTAACAGTTTTACAACAATACTTTGTATTCTATAGCTTATCTTGAACTAATTACTGCCCTAATGAAATAGTTTGGAAGCAAAAATTGACCTATTGACCTTTCTTTCGTTCCTTCTCTCTTTCACTCTTCGAAAAATCATGAAGGCAAGAATTTGTTCATTTATAAGAAATGGGCGAATGAAAAATGGAATCCATCGATTCATCCTTCCTTCTCTCTGTCTCTCATTTCCCTTCCTTCTCTTGCATTCTTTTCTATCTCGTTCAACGGAATACGCTCTCATTTCGATACTCTCTATCTCGATCGTCCTACTTCTACGTTTTCTTTTTCAACTTTATCAGCCACCTCTTCATCTGCTTATTTACATCGAAGGCGGAGAGGCAGAGAAGGGAAGAAAGATGAAGAGAGGAGTTGGGATGCAACAGGAACAGGTATATTTCTATCCACTTTCACTCCAGGACTTCGTGTCTTGAATCATGTGGAAGCGGTTGATTAGGACGATAGCAAGTTTCCAACTCTTATTTCAGGTTTACAGATTCCTGTTTTAGGATTTACGTGATTTCCAACTTCTGGTTTGTAGTTTGTCAGATCCCTTTTATGCTCTTCTAAGTCTTCCGGGGTCGAAAAACAGATATGAAATTTCGATAAAGTTCATTCATTAGTCTAAATCAGATTGACATTGGTTTTCAGGTTCTTTAAAATGATATGATTTTCAGTTCTTGACTGACTGTTAAAACAATTCCTACCTTACAAGTTCACGTTATATCTGTTGGCGGAACAAGAACAGCTATAACGTGAATTATTTATGGAACAGAAAAACTTTTTTTTCTAAAGAAATATTTTCAAAAAATTCCTGTTTTTTCTGCTATCCTGCTTCTTGTTTCATTGGCTCTTTTTTTTTGATTTGCCGCTTGGTAAAGTATTTGTAAACTCTGATATTTCATCAGTGCAGCGATACAATTTCTGATGGCCAGAAAGTACGGTTTTCGGGTGACCACAAAGTTTTTTCTTTTTGTTTACTTAGATGTTTTTGGGTCCTGTGTTGTCCGAAACAGTCACAGTGGATTAATTGCTTTTTGTGATTTGTTATAAGTTTTTAAGAGTAACTCATCAAACTGTTAATTTGCATTTTTAAAGAAGTTCTGAAAAAAGCTGGAATTCTTTTCGAAAATTTCCGGATTATACATATTGGTGAAATTTGCAGTAAATGAGAGAGGCGATACTGCAAAGTTTTGGATAGTTTGTTTCCATTAAATTTTTGAATTTGCTAATTGTGATGATTTGGTCAATCGAATGTTTAGCAAAAAGCCATTATGTTGTTGAATAAAATATTTAATTTGGTGGTCGCATAATTTGCTCCATTATTTTCTGCTAGGCATAACAAAAGGCATTGTTAATGAAGAAACATTTGTCCTTTGACCTTTGATGCTGATCGAGAGGCTTTTAAAAATCTATGGTTTCGATATATCTACAAAAAGGAGAGGTTTTGATAATACCGTGCTCTTTTTATGTTTGCTAAATTTCTCTTCTTCCTATTTCATATTTGTTGGATGATATTTTTGACATTCCCATTTGTTTTTGTATGCTGAATTAAATAGTCATCCTGACTGGGAATAATCAATAGAGATATCGCGAAGAACGGAATACAATAAATTGTTACATCATTTCTTTTTCATTTTCATTCTTTTCTTGTTTACTAATGTAACATTGGCATAATGGACACTTGTTGTTGTTGTTGTTATTGTTGTTGTTGCTATTGTTATTGTTATTCTTTACGCTATTCACGTGTCAGTTTGTGGCGCTTTTTTTTACACTTTGTAACGTTTCGATTCTTAAGCGAGATACAATAATATTACAGTTACAACATACACGTAACATACGTGTTATTGCATTTGGTATATTTTAACAAATGCTTATAATTGATATAATTTTAAGCTACATGTTGAAGAACAGTATATTCTCACAATTCGTCGAATTTTGCAATCACACCAATATTAGCTGTGGTTGAAGTTACACGAATACCTCTTTACTCTTAAGGAATAGCTTTAGTCGATTCACATCTTTTCCATGCTTCTCATGAGATGCATGCCCACGACATACATGCATGTATGTATTTGGTAAAGATACAAACATATATAATTGCTAATGCAGTGCTTGTGTGTATACGATTCATCATTTACGCATGAATAGTATTCGTGGAACGTGAAATATGCTAAACAACGAAATGTTACGGAGTTATATTGTATTAACTAACATTAAACAAAATGCCAAGTTTTTTGACAAATTTATCGGAAATTTAGGATCAAATTATTCGAAATAATTCTTGGGATAAATTTTGTATAAAGTTTTAGGTTCAGCTTAGTTAGGTTAGAAGGAAAAAAGAATAAGTAACATATATACATACCTAGGATTTAGAGTGAGGTTGATGTTTATACATTGTGACTGGTTTTCTTTCTTTCTTTGCTTTCATGCATGAAACCATATGGACTATTGTTTGTGCTTATCCGATCGCGCATTTTATTTTTTTAAATTTCGTTATTTATTTGCGCAAGTTCTCACATATTGGATGTAACCTTCTTTGCCACATAATTCGTCGATGCTTAAAACCGGTTTCTGTTAATACATGAACCAGCTTCCAGCTGCTGGTTCATGTATTAATGCTTCTTGTTATGCTGGTTCATGTTATGTAATAAGAGTTTGATACTTTTTTTTTCAAAAAAAAAAAAAAAAAACAAGTCAAGATTTTGCAGTCATGGGCTTAGCAGCAAGTTCGGGACATGATAACGACGATTTAATAGATAAACTTATTGATGCCAACATTGTTGTCACTCATCGTGTTGAAATTGCCTTAAGGTAATATTTTTCTTTTTCAGTCTGTTCATTTCAGTCTGTAAGGTGCATGCAGAATGCAGCTGAAGTTGCATTTATAATGGTATATAGCATGTAGCTTGTATGGACGTTACTAATAACCGACACAAAGTGAAGCGAGATATTTTCGAATTACTTTTTCCAAGAAATTGTTGGTAATTCCCTTAGTTATTTGTTTACTTCGTTGTTTACTTAAAATGGATAGTGAGGCTTGCTTGCTAATATCATATTTCTTGTCGGTTTTCTATGATTTTTCAGATTGGTTGACCGTCGCCGGTTTTTTCCGGTAGAAGGCCGATATATAGCTTATAAGGATTTGGCTTGGAAAAGCGATTTTGGTTCTCCTGGACGTATACACATCTCTGCTCCATGTATATATGGCAACGTTTTAGAATGTTTGGATCTGCGAGAAGGCAACAGTTTCCTTAACGTTGGTTCTGGTACGGGTTATCTTAGTACAGTTGCTGGGTATCTGTTAGGTAAGCAAGAAAAAAGTGTTTTTTTTTTTTCCAAATTTACCATGAAGTTGGAATTTTATTTTACTTATTAGGATGAACAGAAGTCGTTAAAACGGAAATCGGTTGGAGCTTTGGCAAGCATAAGCAGTAGTTACGGATGCTTAATTTAACCTTATTCGTACCCTAATATTAAATGTTTGATTTATTTTTATCTATATATTGTAACTCCAGCATTCTATGTAAAGATTACACTGTACGCAGTATTTTATTTTATTTTTGTCTTCTTATCATTAATTCTAAATGATATATATTATTCATCGGCATGAAATATTGCAGTGCGGAAATCTAAATATGATCAAACTTTTTTTTTTTACTGCATTATATTCAACTACATTTCAGTGATTATTCGTCCGTTCTCGTTTATAGGTAGTAATGGTACGAATCATGGTGTTGAAATCCACCCAAATATCGTGGAGTATGCTCGTTCATTAGTTGTCGAAACATTGCATTGTCCGGAAACGCAGTGTTACGATTGGGCGATACCAGAATTCTCTTGTGGTAATGGATTGCATCTTAGCCCATCCCATTATAGTAAATATGATCGTGTATATTGTGGTGCTGCTGTTCCGGCATCGCATCGGCGAATCTTATGGGAATTATTGAAAATTGATGGTATTCTTGTGATGCCTTATGAGGATCAGGTAATAATGCTTCTGGACAATGGTATTTCCGATCATGATTGGAATATCCGTTTTTGCCGTTTTACAATTTATTTAAAATGAAGACATAAGTGAAATTTTTTTTTCTTTATGATTTACGTCAATATGCCATATATAGTACGTGTCGTTCCAGACGTTTAGTTAGCAGCTGCTTGTATTGCAGCATTTTCAAACTACAAAAGCTGTAACCTTAACCAATGTTTGCTTATGTCAGCAGCAACTGAGGTTTACTTGTGTTGTGTAATGAATATTTTACTCTGTGAAAAGTTTCCTGTCAGTTTCAGTTGCTACAAGTACGTCGACAAGCAGCGAATGTATTCGAAGTCAAAATTATTACTTCCGTTTCATTTTCGGATTTCATACCGCCTACTGAAGAGGAAACATCAAAAGAGCTCTACTCGAATGCTCCATCGTTCAGAACGATTGCTACGTTGCAGTACCTGTGCGCCTCATCAATTCGTAAAATTATTCGTGCTGCAGTTGCTGCAAATCATCAAATACATATTCGAAATTTTGTAAGTATATTTTGATTTTTCGCTACGTAATGGGTTCCTTGCTTTTCATGAGATATGAACATTGGATAGGATTATACTGCGTGCCTGTAGGTAAATAAGGGATGAAACGATCAGTAATTATGAGGATTATTAGTTACCCTTCGTAATATTATTAGTTATATGTATTATGAGGACTATTAGTTGTATATATTTTTCTCTGTTGTTTATCATACTATTTTTTATTGGATTAGTCGATAGGCTTTGGTAATCTCTGCTCAGCTGTCGCTGTTTTATCTGTTTTTTAAGGTTAGTCAACAGCCAAATCGAACACGGGAAAATCACGTCATCGTCGAATTTCGCGATGGCGAAGAGCCAGTGGCACGTCAAGCTCATTTCGAAATTCGTCGCCCGCCATTTCGTGAAATATTAGCCATCGTTGGAGCAGACTTTGTAATTCACTTTCTGTCGCATCTCTAAATTGAAATAGACTGTGGATCGCTTGACGTTCATGTCATGAGAGCACCTTCGATCTTATTAGCTTATTGTGTGCTTCATAGCACGTACGTATATCACGTGACATGTACTTACATTTCGCTCCGTGAGGGTGCGTTATATTCTGTTTGATAATAGTTCATTTTGATATTTGCATAATGTTGGCATAGATGAAAAAGTGATGCTTCTGTGCAGGTTGGTGAAGATGAGAATGCGAATAATAATGAGGTGGAAGAGGTAAATCCTGAGCGAAGAAGACGTTTGGCCCGTGATAGATTCCGAATGGTGTGGTTTCGGCATCATCTTCGTGCGCACATTGCTAATCGAGCTGTGAGAAGGTTTAGATATCTGTTTTGCTTGCTACATGTTTTGTGTTTTTAAACCAGTGAATTGTTTTTTTATTCACCTTGACAGCTATATGAACTCAAATTTAAATATTAGATTTCAAAACTTTTATTTAAGTAGAAATTATGGCCATATATTATTCATATAATTTGAATATGCAAAAAATAATCTTCAAATAGCTTCTCTCTTTTTTTACAGTTCGATATTTTTCTTTTTTTTATTGGAAATCACTTCTAGACGTCGTCCACATGAAGCGGAAGCGCAAGAAGATGCTGGAACGGAAGATGGTCAAAACAATGATGCTGGAATTAATAACGGAAATGAAAATTCTGAGTTCGTTTTACTTAAGCGAGCCGCTACTTTATTTCCGGTATATAGAATATAAAAACTACTAAATTTCCGGATGGTTGCAAAACCGGGCATGGTCATTTTATCGAATGGAATTTGAAATGCCAGCCTCCAAACATTACCATGATTCCAGCTATTAGTTAGATATTCGATGGCTTAGATTACCTGATCATTCGGTTCTGAATTTACTTGAAATATCTGGCAATATATCCCACAACTTTTCTTTATATGTAGTTATTTTGGTAATATTACGAAACCAGAAAATACATAGTTCATTGTTTATAATATTATTGCAGATATAGTGGTTCGGGTTCAGTGCCCGGAACTACTAGTGATCCTACTGATACGTCGGTAGATACTACTGAATTGTGTAGTGATAGTACCTCAACAACTGGACGCTCGAAGAAACGCTCACTAAAGTAAGTTGTTCGCATGTCTTTTGTAATCAGTTACGGATTTTATGCAGGTATTCTGAGTATTTTATAGCTGCTTAGTCATTTTGACTTACCTTTTGCTCAATTCAAAGTGGAATTATTTTTATCCATTTGGAACAAACTTCTGGGATGTATACATTAGTCTCAATTCGGATTCTGAAGTCGCAGATTTTGATACTCTATTCGTATGGAAGTTCCGTTAAAAGTTCACTTTTTATCGATAATGGATCCAGTTATGCGTTTTCTTCTTGATAATAGATTCAATTATAATTAATATTATTCTCTTGCAGAGATTTATGAAATTTTACCTCACGTTGATTTAACGTGCCTAGAAAATTTAGGTTTATTGTTTTTTAGGTAGGTTTACTTATTAATCCGTAATCTAGAGAGGTACAAATGACTGAAAGTTGGGTTAAGTAATCATCGGTAAGTAGCTTTCAGTAGTTTCGCTAACCCAGTGAATATTAAATAGCTAAATGGATGAACAGAATATCTTCTTGATGACAAGAAGGAAATACATCTGGCTATAAGTTGATGCTACTATTTCTATGGGCAAGCAAAAATCTGTTGTGATTGGAAGTAAAATAGCTCTCCTATTCCTTGCTGTTTTTCCACTTTCAACTTTGGCGTGTTTCATTTTTCAACTTTAATTCATACATCGATAAATTTTAGCGTGGAACACGAAGGTGAAAACAGTTTGAGTGTTAAGCGACGCAATGATGATGATGATGACGGTTTCAGAGATAGAGAAACGATGGAAACTGATCTTGTCAATGACTGTAAGGCGCAAACTATTCCAAAGCAAAATCTTCCGGATGAAAACAAATCAAATGGTGATTCTGTGGTAACTTCCATAGCTCAGGAAACGCAAGAAAAAGAAAGGAATGCTAATCAAAAAAACGAGAAAAAACATCTTGAAAAAGGAGAGAATTCTGGCAATATGAAATTTGTGGAGGGAACTGTGGAAAATAATGAGGAATCCGTGGGTGGCTGGAAAGAAATGGTTGAGCAACTACGAGATATGCGGCGAAAAGAAGCTGAAAGTAGTGGAAATATTGTTTCGAAACATAAAGAGAGTAACGGTTGTTCAAGTCTCCTAGATCAAATGGACTCTTGTCAGAATTTGACTGAAGCTGAGAATGGCATTACTTTGGATAGCAATTCCTCCGATCGTAATCACGATGAAAAATGCGAGCAAGAATCGAGCAAATTTACCAATCAATCGATTCAAGTTCAGAATTCGAAAATACGCAACGAAGCAAACGATAAAAAGTGGGTTACTAATCTTGCTAATGGTAACATACTTTGTACGAAATCTGACGAAATGGGAAACACATTAAAAGCAGGTCATGAATTTTTTCCATCTCCTAAAAATCTTAACTCGAAGGACGATCAGTTAGTATGGCAGAATAACAGATTATACAAAAATAAAGCAGAAATCAGTTCTTCAAAACGATATGATTCGAGTAAACATGGAAATCTGGTCGATACTGGCAGTTCTTCAGGTAAATCGGAAATTTTGAGAACCTCGAATAGTGAATTGGAACAGGATAATCATCACCTGGTTACAAGTACCGACGAAGAAAACCCTACTGGTAATGGTGATGATGATGACGATGATAATGATAATGATAATGATAATGATAATGACGATGATGATGACGACGACGATGATGATAATGATGATGATGATGATGATGATGACGATGATGATGATAGCGATGAGGATGGTGATAGCGATGAGGATGGTGATGATGATAATGATGATGATGGCGATGACGATGAAGATGGCAGTGCGAGTAGTTCGAGCGATGCCGAAGATCAGGAAAATATTCCGGAACGTGTTAGCCATCGTGTTCGCCAACGAGATGAAAATGAATTATATTTGGCTGTTCGTCAAACAGCACGAAGTATGAGTGATGCAGTTAGTGGTCAGGTAATTTTTTCGATTGGCAGGTTTTCATTTTTATACTGAACTAGTTTATCAGCTTCATTTCATATCCAAAAAGTATAAACTTTTTTAAAAGTGATTTCCAGATTTTATGTGTTCAGTAAACTGGTTGTGTATGTCAGTAAGCAATAGACTGTACTTTTTATATACTTTTTATATGATTAGTAAATGATTAGAGAGGTAAAACTAATACCATTCTTGTTCTTATGAATTGTGGTTGATGTTTTTTCACACCTAAACCGTTAAGTTAACAGTACACTGATCGAACATTCTACATTTCTTAGATTTTTGTTTTTCGGTTGTTGGCGATCTTTTTTTTCCTTTGTTTAAGGCTTCTAATCATAACCGTGGAAATAGTGGTGGAAGTGATTCAAGTGGTAATAACTATCATGATGCTGTAGACGATGAGTCTATGTTTCATCGTAGATCTGACGGTGCTGATGAGGTTTGTTTTTTTTCGTCCTATCCAGATATGTGTCATTTCTCTCTGGGTGGCATTTCGGAATTTTTCGCAACGTCAGGTATTATTGCTGAGTTGTCTAGAAATGAAATCACATTTGTCATAACAATTACTCAACTCGTACCTCAAGGGACGTTTACATTGTCATCGTCTTGAAGAAAACGGTGTTTCATTGCTAATTCTTAATTTTCAATGAAACATTTTTAAGATAAGAATTTACTTTCAGCTGCAAACGGAAGAGGAGAAGAAACGTGAACAAGCACGGTTGGAAGAACGTGAGCGCCAGTTAAATGATATCCGTACATTTGCTGCCCTGTTCGAAGGTCGAATAATGGAATTGCCCTTGAACCGTGCTCTCAAAGAATATATCAAATGCCTTTGCTAAATAATGAAAATGTTGCCATTAAGTTCTGTTAGCTTACTTCTGACTCAGACTGTAATTATACCTTCCTTTACCACTAAAAAAAGGAAAACAACTTTTGTCCCTTGAATAGGGGGAGCTTTACAAATTGAATCTTCTGCAAGTGGCATAGGAGGCCGATTGGCTAACTGCTTACTGTTGCTTCGATCGCCTGTTCAAAAAAACATTCAATAATGATTTACCGCATGTGATCGAACGATTTCCCTATTACGCTTTAGGATACATTTACATCTGTCCAATCCAACGTATGCGACATTTTGGTTTGTTACTTCATTTCTTCATTACCTGCTGATTACTTCACTAGTTTCATTTAATGCATTTTGTTCGCTTTCATTTTATATTTTCAATGTAAAAACGCAAACAAAAACACATGTTTTATTTTTACAGAATTCAAAAGTACCGTTAAATAGATTGGGATGGTTATATCAAGAAATTGTGATTTTTTTTTTCCTTCATAACTGTATAGGTATCTTGTTTGTCCTTATTGTATATTTTCTTCTGTGCATATTACATTTCCCTATCATTGTTGTCCACATTCAAATAAACCAGAAATAATTCTTCCCCTTACCATTTACTACTTTAAACAATTTTTTCCTCGTTTCATAAGTTAAATATTTATGTGTTACGTGAGTTATTCCAAATTTCTGCATCAACCATTTTTTTTTTACAACACGTTTTGTATAATAGTTATATAGCATATATATTTTTTTTTTCAAACAAAAAGAAATAGGAACAAAGAGTAAATGATATATATAGAAATAAAGAAGGAAAAAGATGGTAGTTCCTATGAATTCAACATCATAAAGAGATAGATGTAAGTAATACAGCTCATATGTGATGTGCCTAAATGAAATGCTTTTTATTATATCACAGATTTAAAAAAAGGATATAAGATATATACGAATTGAATGAAAGCTTCCGAAATGAAACAATTAGTCCTAATGAGTAATCAATTAACTCTATCTTGAAATCCCTGTAAGGGATTACAATTTACCATAAATATATGGGAGATTTATCCAAAAATATTCATAGAAGATAGGTGAGATACTAATTAAATATCCTAAATTAGAAACTTGAAAGGCTATGTAAGTCACATTCCATATACATTTCTAGTAAGAAATAAACTTAATTTCAGTCATAAATACTATCAGTTGCATAAAGCCTTCCCTTATACCCGTTACGGTAAACAGCAAAAAAAAAAAAAAAACTTTCCCGATATTTTAACCATAATATAATAATTTCCTTACGTATTAAAGTGTAAAATGAAAATCTGATATATTTGACAAGTGTACATTCTCTACCAATAATCTTTAATTAATAGTTGTCATATAAAAGTAATTTTTCATTCAGTAAATTACAAAAGAAAAAAAATTGAATGGCTTGAAGAATAACAATTGGCTTTAAAATAATAAAATTAAAAAATAAAATGAGAGGAAAACACAGCTAAAAAAAAAAAATTGAGGGATTAACGAAATGAATAACAACAATATGTACGAATGAAAATAAACAAGAGGAAATTGCAGTGATAAAAATAAAGTTAAAATATTTATCAAATATAATTTGGCACTTCTTGGCCAGTGAGCAGTCGAAACATTGATGTTGGCATTGTCTTCATATGAATCTCACCAATTGCTGTTGCTAGCATATTAACAATTTTTTCATGTGGAACTGCAACAACACTTTGTGAATTAATTTCAATAATTCGATGGCCAACACGAATTCCACCACGTTCCGCTATACCACCACGTAATAAACTACAAATCTAAAATGTGAAAATTTTTGAAGAAAAAAATGAAAGTAAATTTGCTTATGATAATAATTTTAGAAAAGATTTGAAAAACTTATTGCCAAACAAGTATTATATTAAACGTATTCATAAATTACATGTAGCATTATTATGATTTAACTGATAATTGATCATAACCTCCCATTTTAATCCATAATTAATCTGTCTATCTCAATAGATTACAATTTTAATTTAATTTTTTTTCCTATCAATTCAATACATTACAGTTTTGTTGTAAATTTTTTCAAACTAAATTGTATTCTTGTTTAAAAAACTAATATTTATGAAATTTTAAACGAAAAAAGTTTAGTCGTCGGAAACATTTACTGCGAATAGTGAATTTCTTTTTATCCATTCTAAAATTTCAAACAACAGTAACAACCGAATAAATAAATAAATAAAACCATAAATAGTAATTTTAAAAGGTGAAATAAAGTAACAATAATTTTTACCACTCCATTTTGTACACTAAAACCAAGTTGATATTTAGTATCAGGACGCCGAATTTTCACTTCAACAACTGGTGGTGTTGAAACAACCGTTAATTTTACAGCAGTGCAACTCTTTGTCGCCTATAAATATTACAAACAATTTTTTTAATAAATTATCATCCAAATAGTAAAAACAGATGAAAATAATAATAATAGTAGTGGTAATAATAATAATAGTGGTAATAATTATTAAGCTTCTGAAGAATTATCATTAGAGAAAATTCAAATTTGCTAACCTTAATATTTTGCTGTGCTGAAGCTAAAGGAAGACCTACTAGGGAAATGCCATTAATTGCAATTATCTGAAAAAAAATTAGGAATAAAAAAGAATACTGGAATGTAAATCTTGTTTTTTTAACTTTTGTATTTCATTTTCTTTCTTAAATTTATAATTTGAAAATTTCGTGAGAAAAATAAATAAATGGTCGTTACTTTTTAATTAAAAAAAGATATCCTACCTGATCACCAATATTCAAATGATTGCAACGGCCCGCAGCACCATTTGGTTGTAAATTAGCAATAACAACCGTTGGTAACATTGAACCCCAACCGGATTCAACAACTACAACACCTAACGGTTCACCAACTTTTTTCGGTACAACAACATCTTTTTGTGTTTCCTTTTTAGCAAACATCTCCAACTCGTCACCCATTAATTCCTGTGAACTTAATACTTCCTGAAATCTTCATTTTACAAAGTGACTGCAGTTTGAATTGTATATTTACATTGTTAATTAGCAAATAAAAGGTTCCTAAAATTTATTTTAAAACATGTAAAACTTCCTTAAAATATATTAAAATATCGATAAAAATTAAAAACTGAGTAAATAACTGGCAAAAATTAAATAAAAAAAAATATCATTTAATTATCGATAGACTAATCAATAAATTGTGTGTAACGAATGAAAAAAATGATCCTTTTCTTAAACGTATAGTTACAATTATGTAAAGTTAAATTTCAATACATTATTGAAGGTTAAGTAAATATAATTCGAAAAATAATTACCTATAATAGCAAACATGACAGAGCATTCATGAAATTAAATTTGAAGTCGATAAGTTCAAAAACACAAGAAAATAAATTTCATTCGGATTAAAAATATATACTATAAAATTTAGTGCAAAAAAGTAAAAAATAAAATGAACCTGATAATCAATTTCACGCAAATATGATGGATCATCGATACCATTTGCTCGAAGAAATTCAACATATGCAACTTGAAAAGCTTGTCCAATGGATTGGGCAATAAATGATGCTTCATCGGATTCGAAAACATGACATATCACGCGAGGTGTACTGTAAACAAAAATATTTTCTCTATAATTAATCTATCACATCCTTTTTAATATTTCATTTGAAAAATACAATTATTACTTGAAATTTTAACAAAATGCAAAATACATTCATCGATGATGGATGAACTTCATTTATAATGATTGGTCAATCCGAGGAATTATTAAAATTCCTGAAATTGAACTATTATTATGGTAGAGATCATTTTAACAACATTCTCCCTCTCTTTCTCTCTTCTCCCTTGTCCTATTTCGTTATCCACTTCCCTACAGTATATATTAACTAAATGAAATTCATTAATTGCATTTGTCACTTTTCCACAAAATCAAAAATATCTCTTGTACTAATTGTTCATTGATGTAACTTTATTTCATCAATTTTTTAAATTCCTCCATTTTTCCTTAATGAATCTCAGTAATTTATTATAAGATTTAAATGAATTTTATTTTCATTTAATTTCTCACAGATCATTTCTTTCCAAAATATCAAAAATATCATCAAATTTAGCTTGATCAAGTTTTTTTGATCAAATTTAGAATTAAAAAAATTAACTTTAAATATAAAATTTATTGCGATAAAAATTATAAAAATTTCTGCTTTCAAACTGAAATAACCGTTTAATCCATCTATCGACTTTATTTCAAATTGTAGCTTACATCTACATCAATTAACTGGTCGTATCATTTCGTACTCAAATAATCAAATGGAATAAAATTGAAAATAATTCGCGTTAATATCGAAACAAATGAATGAATGAACAATAAATTTTCAATAAACTTTTCAAAACACCAAACTTTTCCCCCTTTTTTATCATTATATATTAAAATGAAAATCTGAAACATCCGATAAATAGTTTGCACATTAATGGATATGAATGGAATTCTTAATTGGAAATAAAATGAGGAAAAAAAATAATGAAAATATATACAAAAAAGCATTCCTTTTTAAATTACAAATTTAACAGTTGAATAATCTAAAAAGTATTTGATAAGTGAAATATTTAATCAAAGAAGTAAAGTATTTGATAACACTTTAGCTTGATAAATTTTTATTTATTAAAATTTGAATCGAAAGAAAAGGAGTCAAAAGTTTATAAAATTCATATTATCATCTTTGATAATCACATAAATTTAATCAACCTATCAGTTAGCTATCTATTATATATTTTAATCTATTTTTAATGGAAAAGTCTTTAAATATTTCTCGATAAATCACAATTAATAAAGTAGAAATTTCAATTAAAAAGATTGCATACCTTACGGAAAAATCCTCCTTAGATGATTGCGACATTCGGCGTGCCATCAAGACAACCAGATCACCGATATCAGCAATATATGATATTGTTCGTAATGCGTGATCCATTAATATATCCTGCAAAAGGACAAAAAAAAAATTTACCTTCCTATGTTTTACCTTTTTTGTTACTGAAATTATACAACAAAATTATTGATGATACTTCCAGACAATCCATACAAATAAACCGGTCAATAAAATAAAGAGAGCGATTATGGAACATACGGCAAAAATTTTTACCAAGACATTTTAAAATAATATGGTTCAAAATCCCCTGTATGAGAGACTGTAAATGTGAAAGGTTTGTTAAATAAATGAATAAATATTCGATAATTTTGAAATGATTTCAGAAAATTTAATTGTACATAATGGATTTATAATTTTAAACTAGAAACATCTAATATATTCCAAAAATTATTGCATGAAATAGTATTCTAAATTATGCTATTTGAATGAAATCCTGATCAGAAATTATAAAATTTTTTAAAAAATTTTCAATAACAATCTTTAAATATATAAGAAATTTAACTTTTTATTAAGAAATCGGATGAAATTAAAGAAAGAAGAATACAATAGAATAGTTAGTTGGACTAATGCAATTATTTAGTATCTGATATTATTGCAAAAACGACAACAATAACAAAATATAATAAGAGTAGCAACAATTTCCATTACTATATTTAGGTATATCAAGTCAGAAACTATTGTAAATAATGGTATCAGACTTAAACTGTCTTAAATGAGGATATCAGAATAAACTTTGTCACAAGTCTAAATTTCCATTAAATTTTGCATATAATAAAAATTTTAACTTTTCCATCAATATTTAGGTAAAAAGTGATAAAGGAGAAATTGGAACGTAATAGAAAATAAAGTTATGATAGTTTAAAAAAAAGAAAGAAACAAAAAAGGAAAGTGTCTACTAAATATAACTTAAATGTAACTTTAAAAAAATACAACTTAATAAATATAACTTAATAATTTAATAAATATAATATGACTTGACAAATATAACGTAAATACAACTTAGTCCAAAAATAGTCGAACAAAGAAATTTCAATTTTCGATTTAACAATTTCTTTGACGATTTATTCTGTAAATATTATATAGATAAATAAAACAAATCAATTAATTAATTAAGTAAATACATAAACAAGCAAATAAATCAATGAATGAATATAAATATAGAAAGATATACTAAAAAATTGTCTATATATGCATACATATGTATATATATACATATATATATACATATATGTATATATATGTACATGTATGTATATATATACACATATACATATATATATATATATATATATATATACATATACATATATACATATTTATATATATATATATACGTGTATATATACAAATATATATATATATATAATGTATACATATATATATTGTATGTGTATATAAAAATGAAGAAGATTCAACAACCTGCTGAATGAGACTACTGCTTCCATTCAGAGCGCATACCAAAGGGTCCATTAACAAGGGTAGGTAAGGCAACAATGACGACAACCTAAAAAGAGATCCACTCACTTGATATCCAACATTTATAATTTATATATGATTTTAATATTAACGCAATTTAGTTGTAAGTTTTGTTTAAAAAGAATAGTTAATATCCACATTCAACTCTTATACATAATACTTAAAAGAAGACAGTATCGAATATCTTTAAAAAAATTTCGGACAAAAATTTCTTGATTACCTTACGGGTACGGTTAAACACAATTCAATAAACAATTCACGCATTTGCGCCCGATGGGTACTAGATTGAAGACGATTTAACTGATGCAGAAGTGTCGGCAGAAGGGGTAGAAATGTCTGGTAAAGCAAGTCGTAGCTTCCGCCACCAATTGAACTGAAATGATTTGGAAAATCTAGATAATCGTATGGCTCTCAAAGGTTCCTTATTGAAATTGATATTAATTTAATAATGATTTATATATGATGTTTAACATTAACGCAATTCAGCTGTAGGTATAATTTGGAAGGAATAATTAATATTCGCGTTTAATAGAATATGTTTGATAGCCTGCAGAAAATCTTCGAATTATGTAGAATCAAAGTTAATGACTAGCAGTTCCGTAAGTTATTATAGATAATTCTCGATCCATACTTTATCGAACTGAATTCGATAAAGTTAAAGAATTTCGAAACATTCAATACCATGGATATAAAGTGGTATATATAAATTGTAAATAGGATATAACAGCTTTTGTATATTCCTCGTTATTTACCACTTATGATATCTGACAACAAAACCAAACAGTGATCGTAAAAAAAAATTTTTTATTCCCTCGAAATGGTATCTTTGAAGATAATAAAAATCACTAGAGAAACAGGAATTACCGGAAAAGTGCTCGAAGCAAAAGAAAATAATTAATTGGTTCTCGAGCTCGAAGTGCCAACTTCATCGAATGTAGAACCAGATCATGTAGATATGGCTGGAAGAAGAGAATTTATTGAAACTTTAGCTGCTTTTAAGACCAGAATTTCAAATGTAAATTGAAAAAAAATGCAAACTGCTTTTATTAGTTTAAAAACAACCGCAAATCTTCCACTGAAGGAGTTTTTTTTCGTTATTAATTTCCATTTATAAAGAAAAATAAAATAAAAAATTAGTCTAAAAAAAATTTCGGACCATGCAAAGACTTGATTATCTTACGGGTACGGTTAAACATAATTCAATAATTCGCGCATTTGCGCCCGATGAGTACTAGACTGAAGATGATTTAAGTAAGCATTAGACTTAAGACTGTTCAAAAAGTATATTTCATATTCTTAAATTCTCAAAACATCAAAAAATGGTATCTGTACTCGAAGCATTCGTTCATTTTCTGCGCATCCTGAAGGCTGCGAACCAACTGAAGAGAATACAATTTTGAACAGTTTCAACCAGAGAAAAGACCTTTCCGAACATTCTGAAATTTCATCTCAGACAGAAATATTATTTTTCAATATATAATTTTTCATCGTTTCAAAATCGCTACTGTAGATTCTCAATTTCTACAATTACTACTAAACAAAACATATATTTTCCGACATAGGTTACATTCTCCTAATTTTCGTGCTAATCGTGCTAAGTTCGCCTTCCGTGTAGTCCTCTATATCACATATCATTATTACCGAAATTTGAGTTAAGTATTTTGTATATCAGACAACATAATTAGATAACAGTAGTAAAACAACTAATACAACTAATACATTAGCTAAAAACTCCATCACTGAAAAACGTGATTAAAAAATATGGAATAAGAGAATCGAGTGAAGAAGAGCTTACCAGCTAGATCTGGTAATTTCTTCATGAGGAAACGAATTAATATATCACCAAAATTGGCTGACGTCAAAGAATTAACCAGCAGTGAACTACATATGATTTGAAGTCCATAATTTGAAGCCAATCTTTCGATGAAATACTGAAGAGCAAAATCCCGTATCCCGTAGATAAAATGGCAAAATGAAAAAGAAATAAAAAAAATGCACTGAAGAAATGGACCATATCAAGCTTTAAGACTTACATCAATCCGTTTTGATATGATTTCTTTAAAAATTGATGGATTCAGCAATGTAAAAATGGAACCAAAAAGCTCCAAAACTTCCTTCTCCTCTTTTGTGCGTACTCCATTTGAAAACCTTAATTCAGTTTGACATTTTCCATTTCGTTTTTTTTATTTTAATGCTATCATAAATTTTTTCTATCTGATGCATTTTCTTCGCGTCTTTTGAATTTCTTGGAAAATTAAAGCAGTGACTAACCTTTGCTGTGTTGATGGAACTTGACTTGACACTGGGCAGATCACATATATATCAAGACATCGCAAACCATAACGGAAGAGCTGCTCAATTATCTTTGCTTCATAATCTGGCGATATCGCATCTGGATGACTAATTTTTAGTGCAATATTAATAAATTCTTATTTTCATTAGAAAATAAGTTATTCCTAATGTCTGAATGACCATTCTCAGCCATATTAGCAATGAATAACTATGATATAGTGCAAATACTTGGCGAAATATAATTTTCATGCATATCATTTAATGCTAAAAGTTGGCTCGTTAACTTTATATTACAAACATAAATCGCAGATTAACTATGGATGATTTCCTATCAATGGGAAAAAAATCTGACGATTTGTAGCATGAGTATCCTTCAAAGCATGTACGGCATGTTTGCAGGCTTGAACAAGCACTCGGATCATGTTCCTACATTCAAGCAGAGTGTAAGATGGAATGCCAGTAACCCAGTATTGACTCAGTATCTCTTCAGGCGTCGATGTCTGGAAAGAAGACTAAATGATAAAAACAGAATGACTGTTGTATATGACTGACCATCCAAAAGTTCAACAAGGAAAAATGGATAAAAATAAGCGATTGTTTCACCACATCTGTAAAACGCTAGGATTATTCATACCATGTCGTTGAGACAGATCATGAATACAGAACAAGGTGCTATTATACGTCCATTCCATGCAAGGATTTCCTGCGAACTTTATCAAAAAAAAGAAAGGAAAAGCATATTGGCCCAGTCGATTCTGCCTACTAACTAGGGTATAAAAGTCTTTAAAAATGAGCAAATTATGAAGATACCAAAGTATAACTTTTACTTCATTCCAATTTCCGCAATAAGGATCTCACCTTCCCTGTCTTCGTTGATACTGGAAGAAAGGAAGACGATGAACTATGACTTTTATCGTTTTCATTACCCCAGGTACAGAAATCAAAATCGCTTTCTGAAGAAAGCGGTGATGTTGGATCTTCCTTAATCATTTTGTTACGGACGACCAGCTAAAACATTAAGATATTAACCATTTTGGAAATTTAAGAAATTCTCGTTAGTATTTTTTTTTCATAATTAGTTCTAATACAAATGTAATAAAAATTTAGCAAAAGCTGCTAGCATTTCACAAATTATATCTTCGCGGTCCAGCTTCATCATTGGAAAATCATTAAAAAAAATGAAAAAAGTTGCTTAAAAAATCAACATTAACCTCATCCAATTTGCCTTTACCATTTGCAAAAGAAAAATCACCGCGTGATGACTGGGAAGTGCTAGAAATTTCAACGCATAATAAGACGAATTGAAGAAACAAATATTTGTTATCTTCATGGATTAAAGTAATCCATGTTTCAAATATTAGACACGCTTCAAACGTATCAGTTAGTTCTGTTACTACACGAATTTTTATGGATTTCGAATCATCTTACAAAATGAAAAAACAATGTTTCTCTATGAAACATCCTAAAAAGAAGTTATTTATTAGGAACAAAGATCCTAGAAATTTCTGTTTACAAGAAATTCATCCATGCCCAATTGTTTGTTATGCACAGAAAATTGATATTTTCGACTTCCATAATAAGCGTGCTTTTCAAGAATTGTATAGATTAAAAAAGATACCTAACACTTCTATCAGGATAGAGTAAAGGTGTATTCATGATATTATTCGCATTTTTTTCCAATATTATCGGTAGTTGGTACCGCGCCAACCATTTAAGTTTCCGCACATAATTTTCCAATAAACAAAACAGTATATCACGGCACTAAAAGTAAATCTCAAACATTCATCCCCTCATTTAGTTTTCTTACAGATGTTGTTGAAAATGGAATAAAATCGTATAAATGCTAAAAATGATGTCAAAAGTCTCTAAAATTCGCAACTATTCTAATGCGTATTATCTGCTTCCAGTAATGTATATCCCATGATACTACATGTTATTCGCTAATGGTGCAAACTTGCCGGTTGATCAGGATGATTTTTCTCGGTAACAACAAACGATTCAATAAGATTCATCATTAACTTGATGCACATTGATTGCACCGTAGGTTGTATTGCAGGATCAAACATACTTTTTGTGAATGCATAAACTGAGCTAAAAAAAATTTGAGATTTTGACCATAATTGAATCTGCAAAATACAGTGATCATTCTCAAAAGTAATAAAACTACCAACCAACAAAGCAGATTGTAAGATAGATGGCCGCGTACATGATGCACAAGATCTGCTAGCATTGTATACATAGTTGGTCTGCAATGGGAATTTAAAAATGCTTCAAGAGCAAAAGCAACTGAGACGATTGATTTCAGAACCATCTAGAACAGATAAGGATCCTTTATACACGTTCACCAAAGTTAGAACTCAGAAAAGAGAGGTAGAGTAGACAAAAAAAGATACTATAGAAAAATTATACACAGACTTTCTAATTGGTTGTGTATTTTAATAAAATGTAGTAAACCTTAGAAAATCCATCGAACTGAATCCACTGCCTAACATGAGATTCTCATTAAAGAGTTTCGGGATAACTGGGATAAATTTAGTCTGAAGGTCGGTGACAAAAATATTTTTTACTGTCCCAATTAGCTCACGTCTCATCGAGTAGTTTTCATATGGACAACGCTCCAACATTTGCATTATCGACTGAACTATTTGCGTTCCATGATTACTTATTACTTCACTCACGTTGAACTAAAAATGAAAGAATAATTTAGAAAAGTCCATAAGAACAAAGATAATACACGTTAGAAATCCATGAGAACAAAGATAATACACGTTAGAAACCGACATGACATATCAAGCAAAGGTTTTTCCAATCCGATCTTGAATCATATCTGTTTTTAATCTAATACCACTATTTGGAACTAAATTTCTCAAGATCTCCAGGGCTGCTCATAGGTTGGTTAGAGCACTGACTTCCACATAAAATACCATCCTCACCACTTTAAGTGTTCCGTTTTATTCAACAGCTATCTAAACAATTTGTAGACTGAAGTATAATGATCAGTTAACCAAGACGAAAATGGCAATCCTGATAAATACTTGAGAGTTGATAGTCACGAATGATCAATCTTAAGCATAAAATAGAGAAAATTTTTCTACAATTTAACATTTCTGAAAAAAGCACTAACCACAGTGGAACGAGATGAGATGAACCCCAAAAATGTCAGTGCTCGCACTTGCGAACTATAAAATTCATCAGCCAATAGTGTGCTAAATGAGGTACTAATCTGCTGATCGTGAGGTATTGAAAGTGTACAATATTGCACCATGAGCGAGAATAATTCCATTAACTGTAAAATCTATGTTTTATGGAAATTGAGATGATTTTCGTCTTTTCACTATGTACGATTAAATGATCAAGTGAAGAGATTCCGTTCTAAAAGGAAGATTTCAATCAACTTGATATTTTTCATAAATTATTTTGGATTTGGTCGCTCAATCGCGACCAACATATACATTATTACTGATACCGTTGTGAAATGTAGAAATATCTAATTTGAATTGGGTATACTGTGAAATTAGTATTATAAGGCATATTTTAGAATTTGCCAGTACTTTTAAAAGAAGATTAAAGGTCTTTACCAATTCCTTTAAATATCGAACCCTGAAACAAACCTCATTTTGAATGTGATGACGATGAATTTGAAACAAAATAATACAAAACATGGGCACTTCTGACAAAACTTTTACACTCTGTGAAGCACGAGGGATTAAAGAGTAACCGCTATCACGTTGAGTACCATCTCCCGAAGTTTCGGGAAGGTAGACAATTGTCGGCATATAACAATTTTGCAGTGACTGAAATATCTTTTCGGAGGAATCACCATCCATACCTTACTTTGAAGGTGCATTAAGCCATAACTGTGGAGCAACTGTCTGTTGATAGTAATATGTCAAAAATACTAAATGCTTGCTCCCACATGTAAATTTCTGTAGTTTATCTTAAAGGAGAAGTTTTCTCTTTAACTATAGCAAGATATGTTTATAGAGGAATACACTATGCAGCTAGAAATCATCTAGCCAATAACTTACAGATTCAATTACACTATCTTCCATTCCACAGTGTCGAAGGTTTCGTTGTTCAAACATGCGTCCACTAGTAATATGTTGCGGCATATCACGATACACTGCTTTAAAATGATTGATAATTGCCGGGATCTGAAAAGTGGAAAATAATTATGCAATACGTGACGTGCCAAATAACTTTTTAACAGTTCAGAGAAATCTTTGGTGCTATTCAAAGCAGCCTTGTAACTGAGTGGACGATAGAGAGGAATAGAAAATGAAATTTAAACCTCAATAAGAAACAAAAAACCTCTGGTGTGAAGACAGCCCTAAATGCACGTTGATGTTCACTGATAATTTTGATAGCAATAACAGCATTTTCCTCATTCTCAACTTGAATCACTTTTGTAAGTTGAGTAAGGATAAGTTTTGCGTACTGCTTAACGATTTCATTGCAGTTCATACGTAATATCAGTTCAAGTATCAGCTTCCGTAACTGCTGAAATAATTGAAAAATTTATCAAGATCTTGTGCTTTTAAATGGAGACAGTGCTGATGAGGTAAATAAAGTATTAGATGATTAGATAATATGCAGTGTAACGCAGTCAAATATCCTGATATATCTTCTCACTCCTCCCCTTAAAGTTTTCTTCACAATTCCATGTCCTTTTGAATAAATCGCAAAATATTTTCATCGTTTAAGCTCAATCAATTAATTTTGTGGATAATGATTTATAAATAAATTGTGAAAATGGCTTAATAAAAGATATCCATAATGACCGCACCTGTGTGTTATTTTCGCCAATAAACTGAGGAACGGTATCTTGAAAAATTTTCAAAAATGTGCGTAACAGATTTTCCTGGACTATTTGGAAAGCAGATGTCGTTGCCATTTCTTCGAAGCTATTGCTTATTTCCTAAAAATTATGCAAAATAATAAACAAACAAAAAATACAAATAGGAAAAATGACAAAACTTTATATTCACACTAATCAGATGCCAATGAATCATATCTCAATGGTTCAATGAAGAAAGTTTGCCAATTTAGATAGTCGAAATAATCACATACTTATACCTCGAGTATAATAGTATTTATACCTCGAATGATAATAGACTGACTACGAAATAATTAAACAGCAACATCATTGTTCCTATTAAAACCATATTTACTTCGGTTTCCTATATCATCTTTGCTTGTCAGGCAATCAAACATGAACTACTATCATCGATTACAGATTTTTTCCGGGAAGTTTACTAGGCAATAATGACAGAACCCACAAGTTTCAGAGCTCCATATTTTTCTCAAATGTTTGAAAACCAGTGCTTGTATGATGCGCAATAACTTTACATTAGAACATATAAATTTCATTTCATTTTTGGCAAAATTATTCGGCAGAATTTGCAATGAAAGATATGCAGTAATTGGTGTATTACCTGTAAAGCTTTTAATTTCAGATCATCTCGCTGGCCGGTATCACCGATCGTCTGGATAAGTGTCTCGAGACGTGAAAGCAGAGGATGGCCCTGTGCAGTAGCCTGAAGATTGTGCCCCACAGGTCTCACTATTTGTGACTGTTGCAGTGAAGTGTGCTGTTGTGACTGAGGGGAATTGTAACCAACAGGAGCACTCATCTACGATGAATTTAAAGCATTATACTTACTGTGTACAATATGCTTGATTTATCGTCTCTTTCGACAAGTGAGCATATTTACGGGAAAGTTTCAAACTTACTGCAAACTAATATTAATCATTACTAATAATTCTACAGCAACTAACTTGTTCATGCAATCACCAACATATACTGTATACAATGTAACATTTCATTATTTCCTAGTGGGAAAAGGGAAAACGATATGAGGGAAACATAAAAGTTAATTTGGAAGGGTCCCACTCCTCGTTCGAAGTACTAAGATCTGGATAGAAAAGAGCTTGAAAAAGAACAGGATTCAAAGAGTTGTCAAATAAGAAATCTTTCCAGTAGCATCTGACGGCGACCTTTAACCCGATAACTAGACCATGCTAGAAAGCAGATAGTTCCTAACCAATCCACAGCCATGTATTTACATTCAAGCTGACAATGTGCATAACAAGAGCAGCCATGTCGGTACTCGTTGGCTCACCATCATACATGCTACTAATGTTCTGTATGAAATTGTTACATATATTGGATGAAAGGGTTCGAGTTTTGTAAGTTAGTATTGTTGGAATCATCTTAAATTATATGAGGTTAAAAAGATTTTGAAATGATGAGTCATAAGTAATAAAATTGATGAAATAGATAAGTTTTGATAGGTTTATCTCGAAGACTTCTAAACTGGAAAGACATTTCATTCAATGAAATAACTAAAATTCTTATTTGTTCCCCATTTCTCGGAAATTTTCGAGTGCACATTTGGCAACATTCTTCTCAGCGTGGTGGGGACATATTGAGGGATAATAAATCTCAATCAAATGCTGATTTGTAATCTGTCTTATCGTTAAATTTGATGCGTTCTAACTGCACCGCCTTCTCTTTCTGTTATTCTTTCATCGATTTGATCTGTCTGTGCGCAGCTACCTGTCGGCTAGATGAAAGGAAAGGCCACGCGCTCTTGTCACGATCATGAATCAAGATTCATTGGACGACCTAGGTAGGTATGTGTCACCTTTTCTTCAAGGCACAAACAGACAACAAAGTCGACAGGTACGGTATGTATACCGAGTTTGATTAATGATAAGTATTTCTCTGATATTTTAGCGTACTTTGATAAGATACTTAACGTTTGACTTTTTTCAAATTACTGTCATTTCAGTAGTGCACATACATGTCGGCAAACCAATGTCCTTGAAGAACCACTTTCGGGAATTTCTAAAAGGAAAACTGATATGCTTGCAACATTCGTTTGACTTATTTTGGCACAGTTCATTTTTTATTTCCCTATTTCATTTATTCCAATGCTGCCAGTAACAAATGTAGGTTGATTAAAGCAATTCAATTCATTGTTTGTATTATTAAATCAAACTTAATAATTAACAGTGGAAGGAATCTAGAACCTATCACCTAATGGAGATACATCAACTTGCCGAATATGACTGCCATAGCTCCCGACTGTCCCTCTCCCGCTCCAACAATATTTGACTACCGGAAGTGAAACGCAAAATATGATGTATTTCATAGTCTAACCATAAATCCACAACAAACTTTCTAAGAATTTCAAACGCTATTATCTGTCCTTCATACATGCTTTCTCAGTTACTATCACAGCAGCCGACTTTTAGTACTTCCGCTTTCTTTTTTTCGCCGCTGCAAGACTTTATTATAATTATTGTCCTGAATCCATCTTTTTCTCATAATTTTATTGTTTCCACTCACAGTTAAATTGTTTAGCAGTGTTGTTTCGAATGTCATCTTTTGTGGTTGGTCGAGCAGTTTGAGTGACGATCACGCAACATATTGCATTCGTTTTGAGAGGGTCCTGCGGATATTAGTTCTCTAAAAATGATTCCCGTTAAAATTTAGCTTTACTTAATTTCTTAATGCATCATTTTCTTTTTTTTAAACGTTCTTTAATTTCACAACTTCATCAAAGTTGCTTAGGTTCTTCTACACCGTCCCTCACATTGAAAACATCCAAATGGAATCTTCATATCTTCTCACTCAGCACTACCTGTCATTTATATCTTTTAAGAAGTGAATTTGGATTCCAAAAATCTTGCAAAGATATGAAAATTTGGAGCACCAAAAAATACGGTTAGCCCTATTAATTCGGAAAAATATAAAAGATAACGAAAGGCTGTTTGAGAGATAGTAAGAATATTCTTACTATGCAAATGTCTTCATGGTCCTAATACATCGCAGCTGCGGTGATAAAATGCTGTTGTAGATGCAATGATTTATTTTCAACTTTTATTATGCCCATTTAGAGTTGTCAAATGTTGCTTTTTTTCGTTCATTTTCCCCTCCAATTACAAAATAAAACAATCTAAAGAATTGGTTCGAGAATCTTGAACTGAAATGCAAATTTATGGGTTTTCATTAAACAAGTTAATTAATCGGGATGGCAAAGTTTTATAGATTAACAAACTATGATCCGGCAAAGTGGACTTAACTTACTGGAAAAGTTGGTTTTAATAAATAAGAATTCATTTGAATTTCAATTTAGCACTGAACGATTCCTTCAAAATACTTTAATGTAGCATTATTTACAGAGCGCCAAGACTAATTCTCGATCTGTAACATTCTTGCCAAGAAATGTGATGTTACCTTAGCTTTGTACAAAGTACTTTCCAGAAGGAATTGATGTTATCGTTGTTCAGTTTGCAACCATACTTCAGTCGACGTCTTTACTTCGAATATAAGAATCATTAGGATTGATCTGGTAGGCCATTGCAAGGGAAACCGGAACGTTAGGATATACACACACACACACACACACGCACACACACACACACACACACACACACACACATATATATACATGCATCAATCCGCTGGTGAATTTATTTACTTTGTTCTTATTTACCATATAATTTGTCGTTTCCTTCTTCCCTTCAAATGCTTTTTTTTCATAAAGAATCAAATTACATGAGATTGATTCTGAAAAGGCAAAACACTCAAACCAGGCCACTTTTTAATCTAATTTCTTTGCTGTAATAGTTAATTGTTTGTCGCACTAAAATACGAATTGATCCACAACATGGTGTATTTCTACCAACACGGTTTCATATATTAATGACAGAAAAATTGGAACTGTGAAAATTCTTGACGATGTCAAATATGGACGAAATATGATATGTATCATCAGTATTTATTAGTATGAATAGATGTATACTTATAATGGCACAGGAATTTGCAAAGGCATGAAGATTGTTTTTAAATTCGAGTAAATGCTGATTATCACAACCTACGTATATATATATATATATATATATAGTAGTTAAGTAAAATTAATAGTAT